AATAAAATTTAACGGGTGAGCGTGAGCGGCGCGGGCGAGGTGGGGGCAGTATCTTCAGTGTCTGGGAATTCAGTCGCCATGGAGTGTTTCACTGGAGCGGATCGTGCTTTTTGTGTGCGCGCGTTTTATCAAAATAATGATTCGGCAACCATTGCGTGGCGTAAATATCGAGAATACCACAATTTTACAAAGTGTCCAACAGCTCAAACGATTAAGAACTGGGTTGCTAAGTTCGAAGAGACTGGTTCGACGTTAGATAAACAGCGGTGGGGTCGACCAAGGACAACTAGTATTGAAGAAAACATCAACATTGTGGCACAGTCTGTTGGTCAAAATCCTACCCAGTCTACTCGTAAGCGTTCCAGTGCACTAAACGTACCCAGAACATCTTTACAGCGGATTTTAGGGAAAGATTTACGTCTGCACGCTTACAAAATTCAGTTAGTGCAGGAATTAAAAGATAATGACGCTATTCAGAGACTAAACTTTGCGAATGAAATGTTGAATCGATTTTCTTCGCTCAATAATGTGTTGTTCTCGGACGAGGCTCACTTCCATTTAAACGGGCATGTAAATAAACAAAATTGCCATTATTGGAGTCCCGAAAATCCAAGAAGCCCTTACACAGCCCTAAAGTTACAGTTTGGGCTGCTATGTCAGCGCATGGCATTGTAGGCCCTTATTTTTTTGAGGACGACAGAGGTCGCGCATTAACTGTTACTTCGGAGCGGTATGTAGCAATGATAGAAGAGTTTTTGACACCAGCGTTGCAGAATTTTCCAGGCTATAATACGCAGACCTGGTTTCAACAGGACGGAGCAACTGCCCACACCTCCAACACTTCTATGCCCGTCGTCTGTCAACTTTTTCCCAGCAAAGTAATTTCTCGAAGAGGAGACATTTCCTGGCCACCACGTAGTCCAGATTTGACCCCAATGGACTTCTTTTTATGGGGCTACCTCAAGAGTAAAGTGTACGACACCACTCCGCGATCAGTTGATGTCCTGAAAGAAAATATCCGAAGAGAAATGGCAAGCATTACAGTGTTGACTTGCCGCGCAGTCATCGACAATTTTAGACGTCGTTTATATGAGTGCCGTGATCGTAATGGATTGCATTTAGACGATGTGATTTTTAAAACATAATTCCCATTCAATAAAGATGATAACAAAATATAATAATTCTTCATAATGTAACTAGTTTGGTTTTATTCCTTTTTTTCCAGCTCAAAGGACTTATGGGCCACCCTGTATATATGCTCCCTACCCCGGTAAAATTCCTTGTATCTGTTAGCTATATTTCACACACCATAGATTTACCCATACATTTGCCTTTAAAACATAGAATGAGAGAGATAAATGTTTTCGATTCGCGTACTCCTGCCTATCTAAAAGTATACGTATATCCAAGGACCCAGCATGAAACGAAAGATTAGTTGTTGCAGCGACGCCGCGCAGATGTGAAAAGGGACGACGATGCCAAAAGGATGGTAACTACAAGGAAAGAATGTCTATGGATTGATTGTATGGGTCTGTTTGATTGACTTAATGCGATTAGTTTCTCTGTTGTTCATGTCCGTAACTGACTTTTTTCTCAGAGATTTAAATTACGCTGAACTTTACCCTTTATGAACTGATGACAGCATTGCCGAGCCCAAACCCCCACAATTGTGAAAATTTTTAGGATGTGTCCCATTTGAGAAAATTTGCTATTCCCCGCTCTTCAAAAAGTTTTCGGGGCAGGTACACTTTTAATAAAAGTTATCTGTTGCCGGTGACCATCCCCTCCTCTGAGAACAATTCCTCAGGGCGCACATGATAATCACCCATTAGCTTGTGAAATCTATAAAATTTGTATTCAGTCTTCTTACCATTATTTCCACAATTCGTAACGTATTGTGATGCATTTTCAATTGTATTTGCTTCAATATACCAAAACATACAAATTTCGCCATAGAGACGTCCCTTTCGATTGAGTTCCCCTACTGTGCCAACGGCGAAAAGTACACCTCGTAACATGTTTACGGTCAATTTTGTCTTACAATCTTTTTGAATGACAAAAAGAGTTCTTCTACACTCCCTTGCTTATTCAGCGAATAAGTTATAAATGCGACTTTTGTTGTCATTCAATTTCTTCCTGCAAGGGGAAAATTTCCTACAGTGCCTTGAAGGAGGGATTCTGGAATAATTGTACAGTTTGTTTGCTAAGATAATATAATAAGAGATGAAAGTGTACTAAAGTGGAAAATTATTTTACGTGCGGATAGGTAAACCTTGCGCTTATTGATGCTGGTACATCTGATTGCACTGCTTGCTTTGACTTTCTTCCTAGTGACTTTCCTCCAATTGGCTGGCAGAACACTATGAACAGAAGTCTGTAACTCCTACTATAAATATATAATCCGGAATTCCATATACACCTGGAATATTGAAACTTCACGCAACTGCAGGTAATCAATGCAATGTCATGTTGCTGATCAGCCGGTTCGCGCGTTTTCGAAATATTGTCTACCTGCGAAATTGCAGGCTATACATTCAATTTTGGGCAGCTGACAAGTATTCGTACACCTAGATGTCGATCCAGAATTCTTCTACTAGTAGTTTTTTGTGGTCAAAAGTAATGTAATTTTTGTTGGTAGCAGAAAAACCCATACGTTTCTCAGCATCTCTGAATGGCAGTCCGCTTCGATAAAACAGTGTTGCCCACCATTATAAGCGACCCGACACTCAAGGGAGCACTAAGTGCTCACCATGCTACTTGCTTTGATCTACTATGTAAATGTTACATAAACCAGATACAGGCTGGATAGGATCTCTCTATGACCATAACAATACAACGTTGTTTTATGCTTCCAAGCAATCATCAGTACGGTACAGATCTTGTCATTAGAGACAGACAACGGAAAGCGAACAAGCTAGGGTGCTGGGCGACACTTGTGCGTTTCATCAAAGTGGACTGTTATAAGCTTTGAGTTGCTGTTCTCATTCATCATTATGTGAATTTTACATTTCATATTCAATAGGAATGATCCATTTTCAAGGCTTTGGTATCTGGTAGTGCAGATTTTATCAAAAACAATTCGGTACTCTCCTTCATTATATTGTAGAGAATTAGTCGACCGTTTCGATTTAAAAATGCTTAAATATTTCATGAAGACATTCAAATTATCCGGAAACGCAATTTTCATTATCTTTCATACTCAAATTTTCGAGCGCCTGTGCATAGTCGAACAATATACTGTTTAAGGGATCCAGAACTCTAATGTGTGCAAATTCTAGGAATCGAGTTCTACAAAAATGTGAGAACTATAAACTCAACCTACGAGAGTCCATTTTTGTAGGCTAACTGGCGAGTTTATAACCGTGATTAATTTCGACATTGACTTTTTTCTTGAGTTTTTGATCATTTTTGGATGAGTTGAAAAATACTTTGCATGAGTCGGAATTTACCAAAGTTCCAAAGTTATTTTTTCAAGCTTCTGATCACTTTAGGGCGTAGTTAGAATTTTTTCCAGTGGTCAAATATATTTGTGTACCTAAAATTTTATATATATTTTAACACCAATGGTTTAGAAGAATTAACTGACTCCATAAAATTATGTAACTAATGAGCAGATGTAGGGGTTAATGCTACCATATCTAAGCTTAACGGGCAAATTTCAATCAGAGCTTTGGAATGCATACGTAATGATTCGTTTAAATTCAGGCCTTTATGCTCCTTATCTCTCCCTAGACAATGCTAAAGGGCTTTAATTTATAGCAGCCGCTGCCTTATCAGGCAAAGCGAATGGCTTCCAGGTCAAACTCTAGCCGCTTTAACCACGCTGTCATAGTTTACAAGGAAAAATTGTTTGCATGATCGAAACATACATTGTGCCTTCAAAGAAATTCTGTACGTGCAGTGATTTCTGGCGTTTTGTAATAGTAAATTTTTTATAAGCATTGCAAGTGTTAAGTGAGAGTGGATCTCTCTATTCGTCGCTGTCCGTGAGAGCGGTCCATGGAACCTTTGCTTTTGGCTAAAGTAGTGAAGGTCAGTAATCCTATTAGGTCTGGTTGCCCAGATACCAGACATAGAAGGAAAAAAGGAAGTGGAAAGAACGAAGAGGCGGAAGTGGGTCTGCTGGAGGCCTGTCTTGACGTTGTTAACTAGTATTCCGTAATTTTAAATTGATCTAAAATTTAATTTAAGAATTTGCATGCGTAAAAAAATGTAATTTTGCTTGGACCTAGAATTGCACGATTTAATTTTGTTCACAGTGCTAGCTAGCCGCGATCTTGTGTGCTTGCGAACTTGCACGATTGTAGTGAGAGTGGATATGGCAAAAAAATAATGTCCCGTTGTACATTACTGGAAGAAAAAAGATGTGTATGTAATTTCAAAGCCTTTTGAATCGCGAAAAGGCCTACTTGTATTTTCAATCTTAAACAACGCAAATATTGTACACACAAGCATGCACATTTCAGGAGGGAAAGGGTGCATCTTTGTTCTCTGCGGGCAAACATGCTGATTTTCTTACTAATTCTCACCACTGATTAATACATTTCAACAGACTATAGCGATCTGCTGTTCCCAAATTTTTACAACAATCGAATTAGCGGTTGCTTATATTACACGGGAACAATCAAGAAACAGAGAGAGTCCGTCAAAAAATTAGTGCCATGGCCTTTGCGATAGATATTATAAAATAATTACTATATTTATATGTACTGCAGACAAGAAGAGTGGTAGGGGAGACCGGGGTTCAAAGTGCCGGGGGTAGGTTGTTCCGATCCGAATAGCTCAGCGATGAAAAGAGATAACAATAGGTGTGAAGTGTGTTGCAAACCGTCGTACTAACGCGCTATTGTGTCAGCCATTTTAGTGATGCCGTGACAGCAGGTGACAGTGGTAATCGTTAGTGGTGTATAAAAATCACGTAAGTAAATTTTTTCGTCTCTAGTCTTTTTGGTCTAAATCATTTAATTTGACTGCTATTTGTGCCTGATTTGCAGAGTTGAGTTGGGCAAACTATAGCGAATATCTTTTTATTATCATTCTTCCATTTTCTTAACCTATTCTATTATAATTGGAGGATACCTTGGAAATGGGATTTGGGGTTGAAAGTTCCTTTGGCGGGGGGCTAGTTGTACCGCGGAACAACGTGCCCCGTAATGTAACACGTTAATAATAGAAATCAAATTTGTTTTAGGATGAGAAACTACAAACGGAAAACCGAACGAGGCAAAGTTTCGATTGACTTGCTGCAGCGGGCAGCTGATGCTGTTATTAGAGATGGTCGTAAGCTTAAGACGGTCGCTCGAGAACTGGAAATATGCCACATGACGTTATTTCGTTATGTCAAAAAGTTGAAGGCCGGTTTAACATCCACTGTAGGCTATTATTCCAGACAAGTGTTCAACCATGACCAGGAGAAGACATTAGCCGAGTATTTGTTGAAGTGTGCTTCAATCTACTTTGGCCTCTTGCCAGAAGAAGTAAGGAAATTGGCATATACTTGTGCTATTAAATTTGACATGCATAACATTCCTGCCTCTTGGCATAGAAATAAAGAAGCTGGAGCTGATTGGTTTACGGGTTTTTTGAAAAGAAATCCATCCTTGTCTATAAGAACTCCTGAAGCAACAAGTGCAGGTCGTGCATCTTCTTTTAACCGGCACAACGTTAAGGAATTCTTCAAGAAGTTTGGAGACGTCATATTGAAACACAGCTTCCGACCGTCTAGAATATGGAACTTGGACGAAACAGGAGTCACCACTGTGCTAAAACCAAAAAAAATAGTAGCCTCAAAAGGAGCTAAGCAGGTAGGTGCCATAGTATCTGCAGAGCGGGGAACCTTAGTTACCGTCGAATTAGCAGCGAATGCAGTTGGAAATACTATCCCCCCTATGTTTGTTTTTCCTCGCCTCAAGTATAAAGACCTATTTCTTCGTGATGGTCCCCCAGAAAGTATTGGAGCAGGAAATAGTTCGGGATGGATGACGGCTAAAGAATTCCTTATCTTCATGGACCATTTTATTAAATATACAAAGCCTACACCTGAGGATCCAGTCTTGTTATTGCTTGATAACCATCAATCACATGTTGACATTGATGTTGTTGAAAAGGCAAAGGTCAATTCAGTTGTAATGTTGTCTTTCCCTCCACATTGCACTAATCATTTGCAACCTTTAGACGTTGGCGTTAATGGACCGTTCAAAACATATTGTACCAAAGCTCAACAAAACTGGTTACGTAACAACCCAGGAAAGACAATGTCTATCTATGAGATACCTGGAATTGTAAAGATTGCATGGCCTGTAGCAGCGACTCCCAATAACATAATGAACGCGTTTAAAAAAGCAGGCATAAGTCCATACAACCCTGATATATTTACGGATGAAGATTTTGCTCCGTCTTTTGTGACTGACCGACCTCTGCCTGACACTAACATATCGTTATTGGAATCAACTCATAATGAGGAATCACAGCTCCAAAAAATAACAGATCATGAAGAACCTGGGTTGAATTGTAATATGGAAGGCATCCCAGATATCGAGCCACGTCCAGCGACAACAGGACCCGTGACGAATCAACCTCAACCAGGACCTTCAAACATTGCCGATTTCTCAAACAATGTTGTAATTCAAGCCACATCTCGCATATTTTCCCCTGAAGCTATCAAACCTTTACCAAAAGCACCACCAAGATCATCTACAGCAACTAAGCACCGAATTAGAAAATCAGCAATACTGACAGATACGCCTGAAAAGAACGCTTTAGCTGAAGAAAAAGCGAGAAGAGTGAAAAGCAAAACCAAAACAAAGGGAAACAAAATTGAAAAGAGAATTGGAAAAACAAACTCAAACAGTATAGACAAGCAAAATTGTAAAGTGATAGGTAAATCCGTAAGTGGTAAAAAAAATGTGAAACGGAAAATCCTCCAAGACGATCATGAAAGCGACAGCGAAGAAGACAGTCTGGAATGGTATTGTTTGATATGCTGCGACTCATTTTCCAATTCAAAACCAGGAGAACAATGGATTGAATGCGTCAAGTGTAAGAATTGGGCTCATTCAAAATGCCTAAAATCTGAAGATATACATTTTTTTGTTTGTCCGAATTGTGATTCGGATGACGAATACTTTGAATAATTATCTTTTCTGTGAAAAAAATATTGATAACTAAACCGTCTATCAGATTTTTGATCTCATTAATGTTAGCCGTATGAGACTGAATAAAGTAGGTAACTCTAACTATATTTCAAAATGTTACATTTGGTTGATTTTTCTTAATGTTTCGATGAAAACACATAATTTGCGTTCATAATAGGGATGTTTTGTTAGTCTTAAGTTTAGTAATTAGGTGCAGATTTTACATTATTACGAGCATTATTACTAATCACACTTCTTAATACCTTTTAAGAGTATTGTTTTCGTTAAATCTTCAAAGTGTCTTGTGAATTCGTTTAAAATGTTACACATTTACGTTTAATAAATAAAACTGTCATTAATATCGGATACATGTATGTCTTATTTATTTTATAATGACTGGAGATGACAGCGGCACAACTTACCTCAACTAAGGAACAACACGCCCCTTGAAGGGGCTGGTTGTTCCTTATCGACCTGCTACAAAAAATTGGTCCTAGGCCAAAATAGATTGTCATTTCAATGAATTTAACAGTTGAAAGTGAAACTAGAATAATTTCCGCATCTATTCATATAGTAATCATGTATTAAAAAACTGTTTATTGCATTCATATTGGGTCCTACTTCAAAATCGGAACTTCGAACCCCGCGCTCCCCTATCTAAAATAAAAAAAACTTTTCTGAGTAAAGGTATCGCCGCGTAGGGACAGCGACAGGAGACCGTGGCTGGTGACCAAGCACGAGACTGCTTTAGTAGCATTCAGCATTCAGGCAGAAAACCTGATGTCATTACACAGTTTCACTTTGAAATATTTTAAGTCAGATACAAAAAATGTATGTCAATTAACGAGAAACATGTGCACTATCATTATACCTATACTGTGTAAAATTTGATTTCAATATTTAACAGTGGCAGATTTTAGCCAAGCACTGATACAGAAAATGTCGGGTCACCATGAATGTTTAGTTGATGTTTTCTTATATTTTGATTTTGTATTTGAATACAATTTTCACGCCCCTGTAACCCCAATTTTCCGAGCAAATTTATCAAGATTTGACAAACATGTGAATGCCAGTTACTTAAAATTTTGTTTTTGGAGCACCAGATTTTATGTATGAGTCGCTGGCCTCACGTTTCGGTCTCATCCTTCGTCTCCGGCTACATCCTGCTGTCAGTCTCCACGCGGATTGATACCTTTACGATATACCTGTCAACTTTCTTGAAAACGAAATTACAAATACACGTGATCTGTTTATTTATTGAGGGTTCTATGATCTGTGAATTTTTCGTTTATACAGGGTGTCCCAATCTTCCGTAAACATAGAAGCACCACGTTTTTTAGACTCAAAATAAGTCAATTGGACAGGACTTACCTCTATGCAAAAGTGCTTCGTTTGTCCGATAGAGGGCGTCAAAGTTTTCTTTTTAAAACACATATACTAAGTGACATATAAATCCGAACACCCAGTTTAAATGGTTTTATTTTGATAAAATTTTGTATAAGTACTTAATGAAGCATAATAAGTAAATGAATTTCAAAATGATTGCACTGCTTTAAAGCCCCTTGACCTTTAATAATGTGTGGATGCACCCTGATGTGCTACGCATTCTCCAACGCGCCTAGGCATGCTTCTGATCAGGTGGTCAATTTCCTCCTGTGGTATCTCATTCCAGGCAACCACCAACTTCTCTCGAAGTGCTTCTAGAGTCTGAGGAGGACGTTGCAAATTGAGCAATCTCCTACCCATCATATCCCACACGTGCTCAATTGGGGATAAGTCGGGAGATCTTGGTGGCCATGGTAACAATGTGACATCATTATGTTGAAAGAAGTCTATTGTGACTCTTGCAACATGTGGTCGGGCATTATCTTGTTGGAAAGTTGGATCTGCCAGGGTGTCAAGATAGGGTAAAAGATGGGGTTCTAGAACTTCGTGGATATAACGCTGCGCGTTCATCTTATCTCTGATGAAGATTAAAGGTGACCTGGAACCATAAGATATAGCACCCCAAACCATAACTCCAACAGTGTGATGAACATGTCTTTCAACAAAAAACTGTGGATTCCTCCTTTCACCACGTCGCCTTCTAACCCTGGCACGACCATCGTGCATGCCTAAACAAAATCGAGACTCGTCACTAAAGACAATACTGTTCCATTCCTGATCCCAGAGTGACCGTTGTCTGCACCACTCAAGGCGATTACGTCGGTGTTCTCGAGTTAAAGGGAGGACCCAGTGCGGCCGGTATGAAAACAAGCCAAAACTTCTCATTTGTCGGTAAACACTTCGCATGCCAATAGGTCTTCCGTGTTCTGCAAACCATTCATTTGCAATGGACCTGGTAGTGGAGAAGCGGTCCCTTAAGGCCAATAATCTTAGGCGACTATCTTCACGGTCTGTTGTTCTACGGTGGCGTCCCCTTGCTCTTTGCGTACGGCCTTCTCGAAGCCATGCCTGACAACACCTAAGCACAGTGTCTACACTTCTTTGCACTCTAACTGCAATTGCTCGAAAAGGAAGTCCAGCTTCCCGAAGTCCCACTATACGGCCCCTATCAAACTCACTAAGTTGACGAAATCGTACAGGTCTCCGTACTCTAGGCATCGTAACCGATCGTAAAGGATGTCAAGAACCAAAATCCGCCAACGTTGATTCTTTACTGCGGCTGAAATATTCATTTTTAGAGCGTTAGTGAATTAAAAAAAAGCAGTATAAAAACCGGAATGTCCAACTGATAAATCTGAAAATTTTTTCACTTGTTATTTACAGTAAGATAAATACATTCACCAACTTTTATTAAAATAAAACCATTTAAACTGGGTGTTCGGATTTATATGTCACTTAGTATATTTTAAGATGTTTTAAGAACCGATATTCCGATTTGAATGAAATTTGGAACACATATGTTTTGTTAGACATTCTAATATTTGACTACGAAAAACTGTGAAGGATTCGAGAAGGGTGGAAACTACCTACATCGCTTCCTGAATTATGATTTTTTTTTACTTGGCAGATTTTTTCATTTACTTCATTTTTGTCCCCTATAAAACAGGTCACCTCGGATAGTTTTTAGGTGTAGTTAGCGAAAATAAACAAGTACGGTATTACCAATTTCAATTTTATTCAATACAGGCAATAATGCGAACCTTTCATAAAAGATGTTCAATATGACCATCAATCTTTTTCCTGCGCCTAATACGGTGTACAGAATTATAGAAACTTCCTACAAGATGTCATTATTTTTTAATGTATTTGCAGCATTTTGAATCCTGTCTCATAGTTGATTGGCGTTGTCCATCGACCTTTGTTTTTAATGCTCGCATATAAAAAAATCGCAAGGATTAAGATCCAGGGATCGAGGTGGCCATTGAATAGCTTCTTGACCTATACCAAACCATCTACCATCAAATTCATCGTTTAAGCAATTCCTCACAGCACGCGGAAAGTGCGGTGGAGTTCCAAGAATCAAAAAGACTCTTCTTAAATTCAGAGGCTTTTGTTCTCATAATATCCCACATAACATCTCACATTTCCATCAACTAGGTGCCTACAAGATTTTAACACTTGAAGTAATGAGAAAATTTTTTACAAACCAGCTCAGAAAACATAGTTTATGCAGGGGTGAGGGTAGTTTTCATCTTTCTCAAACCATTTCAGTTTTTTTTATAAAAGTCAAATATTAGGACGTCTAGCAAAACATATGTATTCCAAATTTTAACGGACAAACGAAACACTTTTGCATAGACGTAAATCATGTCCAATAGACTTATTTTATACGTGATACTTTTATGTCCATGAAATTTCGGGATACCCTGTAGCATCTAGCGTCCTGTATATCCATGCAGAGCAGTCATAAGAATGCAAGGTTAGACTAATACGTAACTTCCATCCACGACCGACGCCACCTTCCAAGCTCCTATGATTTTAGATTGGGATTAAGATTTATTTATTGATCCAGTTATATACATTGTAGACATTGGATAAGGCGGTGTATACAGATCAAAATATAGATAAAATGAAGTACAATACAAACATCAATAGAAACATAGAAAAGCAATATGATAAATACACAGGTGGCAATAAATTATTTATTAAGATCTATCAGAAGCATTGTGGAATGTGACAAATTCACCCAGGTCATAAAAAGTGCAATCCGATAGTTTGTTCCGCAAACGTCTTTTGAAAAGCCCTATGGAGTTTACGTTTTTAATCTCTGGGGCTAATAAGTTAGAAAAAGTATATATTTTGAATGAAATGAACGGTAAGACACGGGCCTAACTATATTATTTTTATTTCAAGTGATGTAGTCATGAAGGGCAGTATGCTTCTATGCTGAAAAATATCATGTTAAAAGTTTATAAAGATATATACATGCTACTGTAAGTATTTTGTGTTTAACAAATTAATATATCACGGCAAGAAGATCTATATCTAGACCGTATTTTAAATATAATGCGATTGATTCTTTTTTGTAAGACAAACACTCTAGAGATTTCACCAGCCTAGCACCACGCAGTAATGCCATATGAAATGCTGAGGAGCTTAACATCCTCCCTAGCGTATGTATTAGATACAAACTTTTTCCAAGGTTCTTATACAGGGTGACTTCGAAGTTGAGTCATTTATTTTAACAGTGAGTAGATCTGATCAAAAGAAATGTTTTTTTCCTTTAACATTTTTCTGGTAAAATTAAAGTAACAAAGTTATAGCCCTTTAGAAGTTTGAATACCGCCCTGTCTCGATAATAATATTATGTGCTCACGTTTGGCAACAACGGATATAATCCGCGTTATCGGTTCATCGCATCGGAAACAAAAAAAACGAAAGAATTTGAAACGTTTATCACGATGTTTTTCGTCAGTCGGTAACGCGTGAGTGAATAGTGGTGTTTGTTGCGTGGTCAAACGAAATAAAAAATGGCACATGTTTACGAAAATGCTGAACTTGTGGAGATGATTCTTATTTACGGGGGAGTCTTTACAAAATGCTGCCGCGGCATC